ACATACATATACATGCACATACATACACACATACACATACATACACACAGATACACATACACACACACACACACACACACACACACACCATGGTGTTTCTCCTGGTCACAAAGAAAAACCACGTACAGATCACAGTAGATTCAGGAAGGCTCCTTGGGCCTGCTGAAAGGCTTTTAAGCCCTAATTCATGGATGTTTTCCCTGGACTGGGGATGTGGTAGGTTGTAGTCCTTCCTTCTTCAAGGAGCAGACTGCAGCCTGTTCAGCGTGCAGCAGAGATGTTACACTTCCCTGTGTACTTAGCTTGTAGCCGTGCACTGCAGGAACCTGAGCTTTAGTCAGAATCATTTTTTAACTTTGAAAAATCACCACTGGACTTTCTATTTCCCTGACTGTGAAGTGGGAGGGGTGGGTAGATGAACTCTATCCTGCTGGGGGAGCACGCTGCATCCCACAACCAAGGACGGCCCTCTGGCTCTTAACAAAGTAAATTTTTTAAAAATTGAAAAATTCTTTTTCTCCATCAAAAAGTCAAACCATTAAGGCAAAAAGCACAGAAGGACAAGATGGCACTGTGTCAATGAAGCAGGAAGGAAGGGAGGAACTGCAGCTCTCTAAACAGAGGTTGAACCTGGAGCCCACATGGATTCTCCAGGTGCTTCAGACCCGAGTCCCAGAGCCACACTCTATACTTGACTGAAAATATCTTTTCTTTTTCTTATTTTGAGACAGGTTACATTGTGTAGCCCTGGCTGGCCTGGACCTCGCTGTGTAGATCATGCTGACCTTGAGGATTAAAGGCATGTACCTCTCACTAAGTCTTGAAAATATCATTTCAAAATAGCTATTTTAAAGCTATCAAATAATGTTTATATAATTTTACTAAGCAAACATGTAAATTCTAAATAAAATATATGGCAGAATAAATTTTAGAGTAGAAAATGGCACATACAAAATAATCCATTTACCGTACTAATTGCCAATGTGAATTTTAACACAAATAAGGGCAATGGTCATGGAATATTTCTTTCATTCAATTTTTTTTCCTGAATTTTTAATTTGTAGCAGTAACAAAGGACAGGAGCCACCAATCAGCTCATCCAGAAAGTTCGAACATTCATAGACACTCATTTGGTTGTCAGGACAGCAACTTGAGGTAAAGTGCTTTGATTTTTCAAAGACTTAATCTACTATTTCTAATTTTGAATGTGAGGTCAGAGTGTTATACCATGGAGACCAGAAGTGGGCATCAGATCCTTTGGAGATGGAGTTCCAGGTGGTTGTGAGCTACCTGATGTGGGTGCTAGGAACCAACCCAGGTTCTCTGCAAGAACAGTGATGATCTTAACTGTGAGCCGTCTCCCCATTCCCAGTGCTCTGATTTTTATTAGTCCTCGTTTAGAAAAATATAACTTGGAGTAAAGAGAGATAAGCAAGATATTATGGCACTAAATTGTTAAGTAATATATTCAGGATTTTGAACTCGTAGGAAGGTTTGGCTTTAGAGACTATGTCTTCCTGTTTTATTTTTATTCTATAAATATTCTATAAATATTCATTGTGGTCCATGCAATCATCAAGAGGGCAGCGACAAAACCATAAAACAAGGAAGAGAGAAAGACAAAACAAAACACAAAGCCAGAGCCAGACTCTTGTCTCATACTTACTAGAAAATGAAAGCATCAGAAAAACAGATAAATCAGACACAGTGATAGTGTTCATAGGGTAAGTGTGGTGTATTAAGAAACTGAGTGACAGAGACAGGGAGGGCAATTTTTACATAATGTCAAAATAATGTTTCTATGTATATATGTTTATAAAGGTAAGAATGATCTTCCTGGTTACATTCTTACATACTAATAACATATCCACCAAATTTTCTTGTGTATATCTGGCCTTCCTTGGTTTATGTCTTTTGAAAAATAAATCTTAATTTCCCTATAATTAAGTACCTGCCCCAGCTCCTCCCAATAGTCTAAATGCAGGGTAAACACGCGTGTATAAGTATCTGAATTACTGTTTTGTGTGCTGCATTCTTTAATGACAAAATTAATTTGCCCCAACATATTCTTATTACTATTTTAAATATGGTCTCATCTTAAAACATTACAGATTTAAAAGGAATCTCCCTTCCTTCCCACAGAAAGGCTTCCATGGTAGTGACTAAATTTTCCCTCACGTAATAGAGTCTTAAAAGAAGGACAAAGGGGAAAAATGTCTTCCCGGCTCCCTCAGGTCCTGTGGATGAACTGAGAAGAAAAACACTTAGAATTTGACCAAGAGAAGGGACCTTGCATCTAATTCTGACCAAGAGTGGGGCTGTCTTGGCTTAATGGAGGAAATGGAGAAGCTAAATCCTCAATGCGTATTTTCATTGAGAAATTCAGAGTGTAGCTAGGATCCCTTCTCTCCTGAGAAGCACTTTCCACAGACCCCACTTCCTCCTAACAGCAAGGCAAACACAGTGCAAAGAAGTCTCTTTCCACCAAGGGCAAAGTGCTGCCCCCAGTGCTCCACACTAGGGAAATCTCATCCTAGGAGGGAAGGTTTGACTGAATAAGCAGGCAACTCTCCAGGTAGAGGGCTGGCCTCAGGTAGAGGGCTGGCCTCAGGTAGAGGGCTGGCCTTGGGTGTTGTTTTGCTGTTTCTGTAAAAAGGCTGAGATAGGAAATATGCGTTTTCCTATCAATCCCACATGTGCCTCAGATATTCATATATAGAAAGCTTTCTGAGGTAAAACTCTATGTGTCAAAAATAATTCTATAAATCATTTCTGGCACTAGTCAGGCACATCTGAGTGACTGAATTTTTATGATTTTTATCATCTTTTCTTAACATATTTTTTTCTTTCTGAGCAATACGATGTTTATGATCAGTGGCGAAAACGCTCTGTGTATTATGAAGTACCTTCACAGGAAGCCTACGTAGAACTACAATGGTTTGTTGCCTTATAAAACTGAAGCAGACTTGGCAGAGCTGAGATGCCTGTCTATCTACTCTACATGGTCACAGCATTTTACAACAGATATTAACATGCTCAGTCCCACAGAACACAAAATATTGCATATAGAATATCTTTCTTTTGAAGATGCATTTAAAGGCAACATGAATTGGGATCCAAATTAGAATTCTAATGCTAAAACGTAGAAGGAAAACTTGGAAGTTTTTCCTGAGAAGAAAATATTTCAACCAGCTGGAACCCCAGTGAGTCTCTTTATTACCCTAGCATCTCTTTATAACCGGACAGGACACCAGTGACCTGCAATGAGTTTTAATCAGAAAAACCTGTTTTCTGACCTCCCATTGTCTCAAAGAGGGAAAGCTGGAGTGTCCCTGGAGCTTGCTCCCAGCAGGAGCATGTCAGCACTTTAAGATTTGGCAAGCACAATACTTTGGCTCTGTTACAACCCTTAAAGACACCACTGTAGTACTATCATCAGGTTGAATTTTTAATTTTTTGAATCGTTTTGGGGGATTATTTTTTGATTCATTTGTGGATATTTCTCTGTTGATTTTTTTTCCTCCCTGCTTAAAAATCTTTCACATTTGAACATTTAGAGCATCTTTCAGGATGTCTTGTTTTAGGCAATAATTTTGAGGGGAAAATAGAAGAAGCCATCTATTAGAGATGTGGGCGGGAGTCAAGAGCGCTGTTCCCAATCACTAGTAATCAACCAAGCTGATGTTTTCCTTAACATTTTCTGGCTATTTTTTCTTTCTTTTTCACATCCATTAAACTGGGCTCTTGGCATAGCTAATCGTTTTCAGTGAAAGCTGATTCATTTCATGAAGGAAAGCCACCAGCACCGTCGGCAACCCCTGCGGGCGCTGTCACTGCAGGGTGAACGTGTCCAAGAGGCATTCTAACTGATGTTCGGTGGCATTTTGACCAACAGTCCTCAAGTCTCCACTCTAGAATCTAAAAGCTTAATAAATTTCCAAAAATTCTTCAAGAGGCCTGTAGACCCAGAAGCAGTGGGGTGCCACCCAGGACGGTGGGGACAGACGGGGGGCAAGGGCTGAGCGATGCCTGTGAATGCTGGGGATTGGAAAGGCGGACGGAAGCTGTGGCGGTGGCCAGCAAAGGAGAGGTCAGCTCCTCATCCAGAAGTGTGAGCTAGGGCAGGGAAGGAGGAGCAGTTGCAGGTACAAGATCTGAAGAAAGGCCCAAAGAAGTCTTCATTTGCGGCCTTTAAGAAACAAGACCCGAGAGGGTAATGTGCTCCGTTTGTTCAACTGTTCAGACCCGACTCCGGGGTTTAGTTGTGTTATTTTTGATTTTCATTACAATATACGCAAAGGCGCGAATGTGAATGCCTCTCGTCCTCCGGTGGGCGGTCTTACTCCTGGGCTTCGCCACTCCCACTCGAGAGCCAAGAGCCTTCATGCTTGGGGGTGTTTCTGCACGTGGGGGAGGGGGCGCCCCTGAAAGCTGGAGCTGGATCTCAGGTCTCCCCACCCTACCAGGCAGGAGGCCACAGCTGAGCCGCCCGGCTCACCCCTCCCCTAAGCTCAGAGCTCATTAACAGGTGGATTCGCACCCTGGGAGTCTGAAATCCGGCCTGCCTCCATAGAAACAAATCCTTCAGATACACAACACCATCTGGGCGGCCTCTGGGCGGGCCTCGGATGCGCCCTGCGGTCATCAGCGCCACCCGGAGCCCGGACACCCACGGGACGCGCCACGGTTCTGGAGGAGCCCACACCCACTTGTGCACCCTACAGCACCGGTCCTGCCCAGCAGGATGCCAGACAGTCATCCACCCCCACCCCATGCTAAGGTCCTTGGGCTGCTTCTCCCGAGCCTGTTAGACTGGCGCAGCGCCCGCCATGCAGAACGTCGGCAAACCTGGGTCCTTCCGGCTCTGGAAGGGGTCACCTAAGGTTCTGGGCTTTCCAAGGACTCCCAGACTCCTTCTGAGAGTCTCCCAGTTCCGCGTGGCTGTCCCTGGAAGGTGCTGAGGCCCAGCCCGAAGACCCCACCCGGGCACGCAGCCTTACCTGTTGGCCGCCAGCCGGGACGCGATGTATCCGCCGGGAATCTGCGTGATAATGTAACCCCAGAAGAAAGACCCGTGGATCATCCCCACGGTTTCCGGGTCCCAGTTGAACTTGGCTTTCTATAGAAGCACAAAGAAAAGAGCGGGTGGGGTGGGAAGAGAGAGTCAGTGCCTAGCGCAGAAGACTCGCGCGGTTTGTGCCCCAGAGACCCTTCGACACGCAGGGCATCGCTGCAGCACAAGGGTCGGGGGCTTCATTTTCGTTCCCTAACAAATTTGCCTCTGAAAAGCGGGACTCAACAAAAAAGTGTGAGTCACAGTGAGTCTGTGTTCCGGTCCTGGAGATGGAAACTCCTCCGTCGGAGGAGAAATCTTTAGGGGCCCAGCTCTGGGAGTTCAGACTCCCCAAAGGGTCAAACTCCATTTGGCAGGCTAGGCCCGTGAGATCGCTGTAATGGGGCAACTCCCGGAATGGAGTCCAACCCCCCAAAACCTGCTCTAGGGGAAAGCCGGGGGCAGGGGACCTTGAAAGAGTTAGAGGGGGATTCTCCCCTAAATCAGGTGCGCAGGGTAGAATAGGTTTGGGGGCAGTCACCCGATGAGTTTGGGGGCCTTAGGTGGAAGGACAGAGTGAGACTTGTGTGACGGTCCAGGCCACCCTGGGCCCAAGCACCAAGTCTCTAAAGAAACTGGGACCAAATGTCTGGGTAGTTGCTGCAAAGGAGAACCGTTTCCAGGGAATTGGAAGCTCCATTTTCCTCTCTTTGAATAAAACGTTTCCAGGGAATCGGAAGCCCCATTTCCCTCTCTTTGAATAAAATTTTGACACCAATCACATTTTGTGGGGTCTCCAGGGACGCTAAAGCTGCTCACCAGAGCTTTCCAAATTCGCTACTAAACCTTTCTCAGCTGGTTTTCTAAGGATCTCTGTGACCTTCATCTCGTGACCTTCAGCCGGCCCTAGCCCTCCGCTTTACAGCTGGGCGTGCACCCTGAGACTTGCACCCTGCACTCCTGGGAACCCCTGATCCCGCGGGCCGCTGTTCTCTCTCTTTCTGTGCCGCGCACCTTACAAAAGTCCGCTCTGCCAAACCCGATGTGCACCTGCTACTTTGATTGCTAGGTTCGGGTTTTGTTTTATTTTGATTATTAAATATGTTTGGATCGGATCTGGACGAAGTCGGGGGAACAGTATAATGTTTTCCCCTCTCCAAGCAAAAGGGAAATATTTCTTTAGAGATTTAGCATTGTCAGCGGCCAACTTCCCGCAAATCTTAGGAGCTGGAAGGTGTTTTCCACCTAGCAGATGGGGAAGGGAGGCAGAGAGAAAAGGAAAGCACACTGCAATGGTCCTTTCTAGAATGGTGGGGCGGGGTGAGGGGTGCCGCTTGGACCGCACCCGCGCCTTCCTCTTTCACTAGGGAAGCCGGGCTCAGACAGGTGAGCGGCTGCACAGGCCGCAGGGACGGCGGGCGGAGGGAGTCCCATCCCGGGAGCGGCCGGTGCCCACCTCCTTGATGACTTTACCCCCACGGTGGATGGTGCTGTTGTTGACCATGTCCACGATGGCCACGCCCAGGTTGCAGCGGATGCCGAAGGAGATGCAGAAGCCCAGGCCGCTCATGATGGCTATGATGTAGCGGCGCGGCAGGCCGAAGCAGGTGCAATCACACAGCGGCGCCTTCTTCTCCGGCACCTGCAGCGGCTTCCCATCCTCGGTCAGCTCGATGGTCTCCCCGGTGTCCTGCTTCTTCTCCAACACCCTGCGCAGCAGAGTGGGGGGCAAGGACGCCGAGGGTTAGGCGTCCCATGGTTGGGGACAAAGACTCTCCAAACCCATGCGTTCGGTCTCAGGTACCCAGTTGGCCTAGGCTGGGAGACGCCGGCCTGCTCCCTCCCTGAGTAGTTAAGGTGGGGCCACCCCGGCTTAGGGCCTCTAAGGTTCCAGCCGCTCCCTGGGCCGCGGGCGGCTGTGCTTTAATTCTCCCTCGGGCCTGACACAGTGTGTATTCATACCCTCAGGCCGGAGTCCACTGCGGCCCACCCTTCAGCGTCGCAAGGCACGCAGAGGCCACTTGCACCTAACTTTCGGGTTCTTAGGGGTGGTGGGACCCGGGAAGGACCCAAACGCCCCAGTAGGGCCCCATCCCGGTTCCTGGGTGTCTCGCTTCCCACCAAATCCAGCCTTTCCAGCCACCAAGCTTCCCACAGACTAACTGGGTTGACACAACTCCTCCTTGCTCCACGCTCAGTGCTCCCTCCCCACCCAGCTGCCGACTGACCCGCCGTCAAGCCCTCACCCCACCAGGGAACAAGGCCTCTCTGAGTCTGAAGCCACACGGAGAGCTGAGAAAGCAGATCCCACAGAACACTCCTTTTCCAGTCCTCCTGACCCCGTGTCGGTTGAGTCTCTCTCTCTCTCTCCCTCTCTCTCTCTCTCTCTGTCTCTCTCTCTCTCTGTCTCTCTCTCTCTCTCTCTCTCTCTCTCTCTCTCTCTCTCTCTCTCGTTTTGTCTTTTCACTTCACCACTTCAGTTAGAAACAAAGACTCCGCGGCATATGGCAGACACCTAAGATTCCTACAGCTACAATATGAATAATTAATTATTCACAATCTTGCCGTCATTACTACCCCTGTTGAAAACACTGAAAAATAACTGGCACGTTTCCAAAGACGTAAAATGAGACTCCCAAATTTACAAAGGCGCCACCACACCAACTTCTGTAAGATGTTTCATACCAGGGAGAAAGATCTTATTTTTAAAAATGAAATAGTATTTCACAGGATTTGGCGGCTCTGAATCAATTCCTTTTGATCTTTGATCCTGGGGAAGGGGGTGCGGTTGGAATATTGGAATGGAGGTGCTAAAAGAGCTGTTCTAGGACCTAACATATTTTTATAAAAAACAACGTTGACGGCAACAGCTCTGTTTCTCATTGAGAATGATATTTTCCACATTTAAAATGAGTCTTCACTTACAATTTACAAATCTTTCCCCAAACCATCTTGTAATCGTTTTTTAATCTTGTGCCACTATAGAAGATGTTCTGGTTTCAGACACAAGTAAAGCATGTGAGATTTTAAACACCAATTCCAAGCATATATAACTTCGAGTGATGCTGCCAAGAAATTGGAGGCTGTCTACCAAATTCTATAAAATTTCACCCGCAGAACAGAATAGGCCATCAAGGTCTCTGCAGCTAGGCTGGGTGATTGTGCAGCCCTAAATGCAATCCCACTAGTAGAAAGCATTGCAATATATTTTTCCTGCAAGAAAAAATTTAACAATTTGATTTTTTTTTTTTGGCATTGACTTTATGTACCGACATTTATAAAGTTGAACTCTGCACAGGAGTTTCCCTGGTCTCCAGCAGGCCTTTCCCAGGGAGCTGCAGGACTGCAGGGTGCTTTGCCGCAGCAGCTACTGCGGCAGAGGTGCATGATGGTACCTACACGAAGCCCACCGGAACAGGAGAGATTAGGTAGGGCAGCGCATTGGTCACCTTGTTTACATCTCTTAGGATTCAACTTCAGAGAAATGAAAATTAGTGCTCTTTGAATTGATCTTCCTATTGTCTCTGCTGTATCATTGATTTGGATTGTATCATTAACCAAAAAAAAAGTGTTCACAGGAGATATAACACGCCTGACAGGGTGAATTTGTATACAGTACAAGGATATTAAAAATTATTTCTAGTACTTTCAAAGTGATTCTGCAGTTCTGTGAGCACTGTGACATTTCCCACGCAAGATCTAGAAGAGGCAACAGATAGAAATGCTTGCACCATGTTTCAGGTTCAAGAGAGAAACGACCTCAATGATCAATTATTGATATGTTTTGGTCCCCTTTCATTCAACATGGAAGGAAGTTCCCAGGGGAGGGTCCCTACTACAGCTTTTTTTTTTTTTTTTCAGAAATCTAATTTTTTGGCATTAGTCTTTGGAATTTTACTTCTTAAAGGGTTAGCTTTTGTTTTTCATTTATCTGGAACAAAGGAATTCAATTTGAGGAATTTGGAAGAGGACTGCAGAAAGAAAAGCTCTTTGAACAGGTGTAGATCATTTCCGATGGCAAAGGAGAATTAAGGTCTGGGTAGGAAGGCATGTGGACCTCCAGGTGCCCCGACAGAATTCTCAGTGACCCACACAAAACAGAAAGGCACCTTTAGGGCGGCATTCCTGCACCCACAAGCAGGTTCCCTGGCAGCCACTAGCCACCAAAAAGCTTCCCAGCCCTGCTGCAACCTCTAAAGCGACCTAGGTTTGCAGAAACAGCTCTGCGGAGTCTGCCCAGGTAAGCCTGGGTTTCTTACCTGTAGATCTGTCCGAGGGATTTTCCAGCAAAATTCTTTATCCCCTCTTTTCCCGGAGCCAAAATCCTTTGTTTCACCGACTCCATTCTCGTTAAGACTGGTGTCTGGTGTCGCCAGATTTAGTTGTGATGGCTAGGAAAGGCAAAGTCTGCGCATAGTCTCAATCCTTTAAGGTAGTTGTAGGGCTTTTTCCTGCTCTGCCAATGGTAGTGGTGAGTCTTCCAGCAGGGCTGTGAGTGGGAGAGGGGAGGGAGAGCCTACAACGGAACAGCTGCCTGCAGCCCACGGGTGTCCTCATAGGAGAGTTGGTAGACACAGTCACAAAGTCTCATTGGAAGGGGAGGATCCGGCGGCCGAGGGCGCGCGCACTGCCGTGGTATTTGGGCGGGTGTTCCTGCTCTGGATCAACGCGAATTCCCGGTTTTTAAGGTTTATTGCAATAAAATCTACTGGTTTTTAATCAGAGGGACCGGAAATGTCATCGAGCCCTTGTGTCAGGGCAAAATCAAAAGACACTACTTTCTAAAACGATGCCTTTGCTGATGGAGCTCAGCGTTTGCAAAACTCATGGGACCTTCCCAGGCCTCAGGTGAGCGAGCTACGCTGCTGTTTAGTCCCCGGCCTTCCCCAGTGTCCTCCCTTCGCCCGGCGGGCGTCTGCTCTGCGGCAGAGTCCAATAAAGACGGAGAAGGTTAGCTGCTTTCCGAGGACCCGAGCGGATGACAGGCGCACGACTGGCACCTGGGCAGTGTCCGGGGAGTTTCCGGGAAGGCCGACCGCACCCGTCCACACTCGCTCGCGAGGCAGAACGTTTCAGCACCGCGGACAGAGGACGCCCCGGCTCCCTCCGAGGCTGCCTCGGGCTGCCCAGCCTGCCAACTTCCGAGGGGGAGCTGGGCGAATCGCCCTGACCGAGGACCTTTCCAGAGCTCTTCAGGAACGGATGCTATGGAAACCAAGTGGGAAGATGTCATTGTCTGCAGAGTTTGCGGGAGGAAGCCTGCATTTGGCTGTACGAGGGAGGAGGGCATGATTAAACATTGATAAGATACTCCTCCTGGCCTGGATTGCCCAGCCTGCTGCAACCAGCTCTGACAGGGGAAGGAGCTTGTAGCTTCTTGCACTTAAGTGCACTCTAGACACATAGGCTCCCTCAAATATTAAGTATATGCGTGTGGGATGCATAATAAGATTGATCCTGGGTTTGCTTCCACCCCCAAGGAGAGTAAGAAGGGGCATAAGGCTTTGGAAATGGAGACAAAGAGGTGGGAGACAGAGAGTGAGGAAATCCAGAGAGGAAAAGACGCTGAGGCCTTAGAGCATCTGCTAAATAAAAATCAGGCAGTTGCATATGAATTCCCAGAAATCACAAGCTTCTTTTCACAACATACAATGCACTGCTAAAATATCAATATATACAGGTGAAATTTGTAGCCAAACCTTGTGTTTGTCAACAATTATAACTGACGTTTAAAAGACATTTCAAGATATTTATATTCCATTTAAACTCTATTTTTCCTTTGTGTCACTTTCTCCTGAGGCAGATGTCTTGGAGACACGGTCATACAAGATTTTCAGCCTTGCATGTGGAAGTATAGTGTCAGGTCAGTGAGTCTATTTCATTTAGCAAAACAATGAAACTGCTAAATTAATATGAATTATTAATGTCTTTCACATGAATCACAATCCTCTTAGATGTAATTCAAGCAAATGCTTATAAAACAGATTGGCCTTGAGCTACAGTCCCAAGGTCAAACCTTGGGTGTTATTTAAGCCAACAGGGGGAGCAGGTTTTCCTTTGTGACTATAGGGACATCTTGGAAGTATAGCTCTAAATGCAGAATCATAGAACATGCCCTCAATAGCTCAAATGATATGTTGGAAGTATAGAGCTGAAAAGAATCACAAATAGCTAACCCCTCCCTGACTGTTAAATTCAATACCTGTGAAATTAAATTTCATCAGGAAGTATGATTTTAAATGAGTGCTGGAGACAACTTTCTCTTATTTTGGTTTTAACATGCTTTATATGAATATATATTAGATTGAATATATATATATACTTAATAGGCTGTGAGGGCCATTCTTTAAAAAGTATGTCTAGAAGATCACAGAATGCTACCTACTCTCATAGGATGTTAAGTATGAAGAAAAACTCTCATTAAATTGTCTCATTGCAAGCAAAACTTTCAAGCTCCTCGGGACTTGCTTCATTCAGACACTTTTTAAAATATCAGTTCTACAAATCTTTATTTACTGAAGTCATTAAATTTAATTCATTTAGAAGTGGCTATGATTTTTAAATCCTGGAAATGTATGCAAAATGGTGGTAGTTATATTAAATATCCATGGAGCTGAGATGGTGATACAAAAATGATTCTCTCTGGGCATGGTGGCACACGCCTTTAATCCCAGCACTCAGGAGGCAGAGGCAGACGGATCCCTGTGAGTTCAAGGCCAGCCTGGTCTACACAGTGAGTTCCAGGACAGCTGGGGCTACAGGGAGACCCTGTCTCAAAAAGACCAAAAAAAAAAAAAAAAAAGATTCTCCTTGATACTTATTCTTATGTTCCACTGGAATTGAGTAGAAATCTAAGCCACCCCAAACCAAGATGGCCACATCTCACTGTATGTGTGTATATGCACCAAGCAATAGCAATTCAGCAAATCTGGCTTAAAATACTGTTTCTAGAATAACTGCTTTAAACTGATTGGAAAATGTGATCTGCCTTCTTCTCTTTCTCTTGGTAACAGACTGAGTGTCTGAATCAGGACAAGAGCTAATATTGATCTATTCATTCTAAAAATATCCACTGAGAGCCAAGAATTGCACGAGGCCTGAAAATGGCCCCTGAAAGATCTCACCAGACATATGGCAGATAGACATATAAACATCATTGGAAATACTTAGGGCTAAATTCAGACAAGATGGATAGCCCAGTCCGCATGTGAAAATGTACAGGAAATATTGCAGGAGGCTTTCTTGTCTGTCTTGATATTTTTAAAGAAAAAGTAGAACTAGAAAATGATGGGTGGGGTTGGGCAGAGAGGGCTGGTGATACCGAAGAGCATCCAGGCCAGTTGGGATGCAGCTGGGATGTGTTTAAAGGAAAAGCATAAGAGGAAATACAATACCTAGATAGTTCTACCCATTGCCGCTGGCCCACTGGAGGGGCCTGACTGGTGCCATCTGGGTTTTGGTTGCATAACTTCCCTACTCCCACCCTAAGAGACAGTGAACGACTATTTACAAACCCCAAGCACTGAACATAGACCTTTCTGGCCCTAGTGAATTCATCAGGCTTGTCCTTTGAAACCCTTGTTTTCTGTGGGCATTCTTCGTGCACACATGGCTATCTACTTTTACTCCCCGTCTTCATTTCATTTCTTCATTTGCCTTTCCTTCTGACGACATGGCCACTCTTCCTAACAGGGCTTCATTCATATAACTTGTGAGCATAACAGATTGCAGTTCATGAATCGTTCCCACTCAGATGACCTCATTCATTCCTCACAATTCTCTGAACTAAGATCATTTTATTTCCCTTTTGTGGAGGTGGAGAATGAGATTTATAAATTGCACGAAGCCAAGTACTTGATAATGAGGATTGGGAAGCAGTGGGTTGGAGTGCTTTCTCACCATTAGAGATCCTGATAAAACAGAGAACTGATTCTTTAGGTCTGGCGTGGAGTCCCAGATGACACACCCTCTCCCAATTCCCAAGACAGCTGGCTCCTTGGATCACAGTTGGAATACCAGCAACTTAGAGACCTGAGATCAGCTGGCTGGGGGCTGGGTTCAATTGTGTGTGCCTGCACCTTTGTGACAGACTCAATCACTTAACTTTAAGAAACTCCAGTTTCTGTATTGGTACAGAAGAGGGCTGGCTGTGGGTGATGTCTGACCTTCCCTCCCTTCGTAAACTCCCTTCACTTTCCTTATTCACAGACGTATACTGTTTTCTTCTTACCTCAGTGCTAAGGTGTTTCAATATTTAAGCTTGATGGTTAATAATAAAATGGAGTAAAGGCCCCAAATCCATTTTTTAAAAGCCTTCTTTTTTTGAAATTCTGTCTTCTTATACAGACTTACTGCTTCTTTGCGAGTAGACGGGAGTTTTATATACAATTGCTCAAGTAACTGTGTGCATAAATGTCTTGATATATACAGGTGGTATTACCCACAGCATCTAAACTAGTTTCCATTCTTTTATGTCCCAGGGTGAGGAAATAGTTTGAAGAATATTTAAACTTCTTGCAAATGTTGCCCTCTGGTGGAAGGATATGTTAATACTTCAGAAGCAGTTGTCCCTAAGATGTCAACTCCTGCTTCCTTTCTCTTTACCTTTGCTCTTTGCTGTTTTGGTGTTTGTTAAAATCAAATCTGCACCTAAAAATAGTCTCTCCTGTGGGCAACACATTTGCAATTGCCAGACAGAGTACTAAATAACTTAGAAACAAGTAGATTGCTTGAGAAGTCCTTCACTGTGCTGAGATTTAGAAATGCCATATAACCACACAGGGGAGCAATTTAAAATGTGCTATCCCAAGAGATTAAGCCATGGTCAAAATGTCAGTTATGGTCCTTCCCTGTGACTATAAACATGTGTATGTATGTATATTACAGGTATCATACTTAATGTCACACTTAAATCATTCCTAGGATACTGTATGGAAAATTTAATTTTTAAAAAATATGTCAAAATTACTGAATCTCGCAGTATCTTGAATAGAACATTTTGTTGATTGTTTTCACAAACATTCATCCAATAGACGTTTGCTTCTGCTGTGGCTCTGGCCCCGTGCTGGGTCATGGTAAACCAGTCAATTCAGCGATAAAAGCATAACGTGTGCATTCCTAGAGAGAAAAGCGGTTTTCCGGGCTTTTTGATAGTATAGCTTTATTTGCCTTTGAACTCCTAAGTAAATGTTCACTGTAATAATCACATGTGTCTTCCAGGTGGAGGCCAAGTAAGCTCCAGGATTCATCCCGACATTTTTCTTTCCAGGGTTTTCCCGTGGACAGTTTTCAGTTCAGCTTTATTTGATTTGACTTTGCAGGTCTTATCCTTGGGGACTTCGCTAAGAAATTATCATCACACAACTTCTTGAGAGCAAGAACTAGAGGAAATAATTCAGTTTGGGTTCCGTGTGCCGGACCTAATACTGTATGCTGTTGTATTTAGTGGCCCAATATTAAATCTCTTTTGATTTCTCTATTATCTGCCGGGGTAAAAATTTGTAAGTGGGAAGTTTTAAATAAACGTATTCTTGGGGCCAGAGAGACAGCTCAGCAGTTAACAGTACTTGCTGCTCTTGCAGAGAACCTGAGTTCAGTTCCCAGCACCCAAGATAGGCGGCTCACAATCACCTGTAACTCCAGTTCCTAGGGGATCCAACACTCACTTCTGGTCTCCAAAACACATGCACATGTGAATACACACACAATCACATGTACATACATATAAATGAAAAAAAACCAAAACTTAAAAACATAAACATTTGTGCTGGATAGCTTCAGTTGTCAACTTTAAAACCTGGAGAGAGGGAACCTTAATTGTGGAATTTTCTCCATTGGACTGGACTGTGGCCATGTCTGTGGGGGATTTCCTTGATTGCTGAGTGATGTGGGAAGGTCCAGCCCACTGTGTG